AAGAGCGAACTCAGTGCAATCAACACTCAATGGTACAAGGAGTTCAACACCACTCTTCAGAGCTACAGGCAGGCCAGCGAAGACGGCGTTCTGGACCGACTACCGATTGCCACCTGGAACGAGCTTAACGCGACTCTTCACAATCATGCCAAGACTGCCAAGGATCTGGGTGACTTCAAGAAGTACGCTGCAAGTAAGAAATCTGAACGCTAACCTACTTTTGCTCTTTTTTTTTGCCGCACATAAGTTCTCGTTCCTAATGCTATGACAATCCATTTCTATGTGGCATTATGTTGGGACTGCATGGAAATCTCACACCATCCCGTTAATCACCAAATCACCAGAAGAGTCTGAAGAAGATAATATCACCTCCTTACCAGCAGGCCTGTCGAATGCTCGATTCTAGTTATCTAGCAGATTGATGATTTCTAGCCGATTGAACGGTTTGCCTTGTTCGGTCTTTGCAGAGAAGCCAGAGGCTTACATCCAAGAATTGAACACTCTATTTGCGCTCCTCCAAGAGAACACAATCCTAACAATCGGCCAAAACGACGTCTTCGACGGATCGGTTACCTGCAACAGCAATGTAACAGCTGCAATCACAGCTGGGACGCTGGTGCCATGTATGGCTCCCAAATTAGCTGGTGCAGGAACGGAGTTCATAATGTGAGCAGTCTTGGGATTTCCTGTGTAATCAAACTTGCTGAGCACTCCTTTCGTGATCTTTTGTAAATCTGCATCAGCCAATATTTGATACAGTGTCATGTGCACACTTTGCACCTCATAGAGTTTTGTCTAGTTCCTTTCAAATCCGCAGGTCGTAGAATCAAAAAACGTTATCGATACGGAATAAATTCGCATTTTCGGGACTCCTTACGATGCCCGGTTATAGTTATTTAGCAGTTGGCAGTTAGTCAGTAGTTAGCAGTAAGTTGGAAAGTATTAGAATCAATCTGATTCTAATACTTTCCATTACTTAGTTGATTTAAGGTTTACAAGTGCGCACAATAGCGTTTAGATTTAAAGCGCCAAGTGGAAACCGCATAATGTCTTTAAGAGAGTTGACTTCATTGATCCTCTCATGTCTTTCGAACTGTAAATTTAGTGCTTGAGATATACATAAATTTTATCACCCTGTTTCATCACCTGAAAGAATGCAAGGATGGTGCGATGGGTTTGAAGGAACAACCTGTGTATTCGTTGATCGTAAAGCGTGCATGGACAATTGCCCCTGATTTGATGATGCAACTGTTTACCTTTCTTGTTTAATCGTTTACTTCCTCAAAGGCTCGTGGTCCATCTAACTATGCAGCGCTAACAAGGTGTGTCATTTATATCGGCACAATTGGTTCATGAGGGAGAGTACGCATAAGTCATGATGATTGAAGGTGTAGGATTTCTCTCACGAATTGTCCTTATATCCGCATTAGGTAGAAACCGATAGATCTTTTCACTGATAGGGGGGTTCCCTGGTAAGGCCGAGATGCCTCTTTTGCCACATGAGACAAGTAGATATTGTCCTCACTCACAGAGATGGGAATCACAGGAAACATAGCAATTAATGATAACACATTAAAAAAATTCTTTCCTGAAACAAAATTTAAGTTAGCTTCTTCTCTCTCTTACTATAAACTTGAAAGATGTTCCTCAGATTTGAAATGGTTGATTCATGCATAGTAATACTCCCTGCAAATTGCTGCCTCAAATCAAATGCAGATGACCGAAAAATTTCAAAACATTATAATTATAATTTTTATATCAAATACTCACATCCCACCTGACTTTCTTCCAGATTAATTCGACAAGGATGATATCTCAATAATGTTTCTGGAGTAAGATAAAACTTTATATTTTGATGATGAGAACAACAAAAGCTTCTTAAATTAGAAAAAAATTCTGAAAAATTTCGTTTGGAGCGGTAAACGGATCGGAAGGGAGTACGCAACTTTCCCGTCACAAGTGGTTTCGTTGCATTGAAAGGCCAACTCCGTGCACAACTGCGTTCACTGCCTGTTGCAAGTGAGATATGCCACGCCCGAACACCGTAGACGGGCTCACGCAATGTCTGCAATGGCAGAATGTTGCATGCGTACGTAAGATTGGAGTTTGGAGTTCGAGGGTCAAGCGATCGCTCGCGATTGGAGGGTGGCCGTATCAGACAAGAATAGCCATGCCTGCAGCCTTTTTAGTACTTCATTGGCAACATTCGCTCGAGCCTGGCACGTGAGGGTGTGAGATTTCACGAGCAGGCGTGTGTCGGACACGAGTCCATGAAGCTCCCGTCCTTTCGGTGGCCTCAAGAGGACAAGCAGCTGACAACGTGGTCCGTCGATGTGTTCTTCATTGCGACTGGAACATTTTATGCGCCAAAGGTGGCAGATTCCCGGCTGCTTCATTCTATTGTCCTCCCTACACGATTCCTCAATGTGATTTCTGCTGTACAAATTGGTTTGGGTTGTCGATGGAGTCTTCCGATCCATTTGTTCCATTACCTTCTTCTTCTTCAGGTCTGGTCTTAAATCAAAGCTGTGGTAGAGATTGTGTGATGTTTCATCATTGAAATATCCTGATCATATGCCACGGCCGTGGTTCTGGACTCCTTTCCACCACGGAGTAGCAATGTTAAAGTTCAGTTCTACTCAGAGAATGGAAACAGCGACGAAAGGAGAAAACCACATAAGGAAGATGTATTTCAGCCAAATTTTTACTTTTAATTGCATTGCATCATACTCAACTTGTTTTAATGGAAGCTCGAAGCTAATTTCATCAACTGCTTAGTTACTTCTGTGCTGTTATAGATTTCTGCAGAAAAGTAAGCCTTGATGGCCAATGCTGCACCAACTTGACATTTTTTTGTATGAAGACAGGCTCATGCATTAAATGAAGCGAATACTTTTTGCCTTTTGTAGAAAAAGACACAATGAAGGCGGGTCCAGAACAACAGGCCTAGGGTGACGACAGAACTGAATCTCCAAACTTGAGCCGTCTCGTAGAAATCTGATTAAGCGATAACGGCACAGGGACTCAGGTAGCGGTAGGACCTATGATTTTATGAGGACACAAGAGACAGGGTAACCTAAGGTTTCAAGAGGGTGAAGTTATAAATGTCAATTTTCCAATGAATGTCGAGTGTGGTCAACACTTGGTCGTGTGCCGAACACAAGTCTGGCTCCGAAACCGCCAGTCTATATGTGGTGATGACCCCAGAAAAAGTTTGGCGTCCACATGGATAAGCTGTCACTGGAGATCGTGTAGAAGTCAACTCTCTTCTTACCGTACTGTACTTTGTGAAATCGTCCGTACCATGACTCTTGTTTTACCCATCGACATCAATCGACTTGCAGTCGTTCTGACCTTCTATCCGTACTGTACTTTGGGTTCTTCGTGTCTTGCGTCCTGCAATCCGGATTTCGAACTCCACGTCGCGGTATGCTTGAGGTCGGTGCGTCGTTGTCCTTGATCCAGGTTCCTTCGTGTCTTAAGATTTCCAGTCTTCTCTCGAGTTGGGTACAGTTCCGTCTATTTTGGTCAGCACCTGTGCTTTACCGGTGATCTGATCCGTAAGTAGCTTTGCTTTTATCGTCCAGACTCGCTGCAGCATCCCATCAACTACGAAATCTTCTTTTCCAGTTTTTGCTGAATTACTGTAATAATATCATTGAGTTGGCCCGAGACTTTCCTTTGTAAAACTATATCTTGTGTCTTTCAAGGTCGGATTTCAAAACGTAGAGAAAGCACATGAACGCCCAACCCTGAGTAGCATCATAAGCTGCAAGCATTCTCTGAAGTGCTCTTGATCATGGCTTCAGGACTTCAACTATGGTTACATGGCCAGGATATGCTCCGAAGAAAGAAGGTCTTCAATGACAAGAAATTCAAATAGTTTAGTCCTACAGTCAGGTATAAATGACATGAGTTATTCTACTAGGGAAGGTAGCCAAACTATAGTAAACATCGATGGGTTGTTAGTTGAAGATATTTGTGATCCTGTAGCCAAGCAAAAGCTAACCTGTCTGACTTGTTTATTTATCACGGCAGTTGTCGAACGAGGCGAGCTTCACGGAAAAAGGTTTCTTCAAAGATTATGTCCTAGTGATGAAATTCCTCATCGCCAGCACGAAGTATGTCTGCAGAGCCATAGCTTCAGCTCGCCGCAGTAAAACTGCTGTTCTTGCAAACCTTCCGTTCCATTCAGCTTCGAGCACATGGAGCACAATACATATCCTTCTACTGAGCAGTGTTGTGCTGCGGCAAACCGTTGACGTTGGTCATCCTTGGTTTCTGCAATGCCGACAGCAGCAGCCAATTTGCTAGTGGTTCACAAATTGATGACGCTACGTGCAAGACTGATTAAATGCACCTGCAGCGAGATATCGCGCACACGCTCAGTAGCGTCACCCCTTAAAGACAATACATGACTTCCACTTTCAATACATCTCAGACCCGATTACGAACACGGGATGTAAGGGCTGGATTTATCTTGTAATGGGTGAAAATGTCTGACGCACTGACATTGAGCATCCCGCATAATGTCCGCACAACAAGTAGAGTTCACCTCGCTATTTTGCTCTGACTACCTGATGCTCATTGAACTGAGGATGAAAACGGTTAGAGATTTCAGCAATCTCCAGTCTTAAATTTTAAAATGGACATAATGAAGCGAATTTAAGCGACAGCAATTTTTGGCTTCCGCGACAAAAAAAATTTCAAATCGATGAATGAGTTCACAGTACAAAGAATCTCGTAGACTGTTGCTGGAAACAACGGAACCAACAACAGTTTGGTTGTTTCCAGCAACAGTGCGCTCATGAGCCGCGGGTTTACTTCTCCGTCAATAATCGCATGGGACTCAGGCATAAGATTTCCGTGGCATATACAGATACACTATTCTTATATGAAGAAGGGTTGCTTTCGCATGTCTTTCACACTCGTGATAATATTTTTAGGCGATAACGGCACATAATGAATACTGATAGATTGTTATCCTCCTCCTTGCGACAGCCAACGGGATTCTGTTGAGCCAGTGGATCGAAGATTCCGTGAGCAGCAGCTCCTGTGACGAGATCCTCCACCGAGTGAGCTTTTGACTGGGCGGTGAATGTTTGCAAAGGAGATGGTAAAACCAGCAAGATTCTGGGGTCAGCAGTCGTAAGGCCGGCTGGTTGCTGAGTTGGCATCTGTAGCAGTGCCTGGAGACAGCAGCAGCAAGGCTGCGTTCGCATCCTATATAAACTTCCAGGGCGTTCCTGGATAGACACCTGCAAAGTGCGGCATCGAGTTCGTCTCCACCGGCGCTGGATAGCCCTCGAGTCCACGGAGAATCGAGACTTCGCAGGCTAGGGTGGGCTGCAGCAGCAGCAGAGGGATTCATCGAAGATGGCCGTCATGTCGGAATATCTGTGGTTCGTCATAGTTGGAGCCTTCGTGGCGTTTGCCTTCGGGTGGGGTAATGGTGAGTAATTCTCCCATGGAAAACGATCCTTCAAGGATTCCGGACAGAGTGACGACTTTCATATAGCTTACGAGCAGCAGCAGCCGTCTCTCATTTCTCTCTTTTAGTGGGTTCTCGAATCTGAATCTCTGTCCAACAATGGCTGAAGAGTCACTCCGACTGCGATCCCTGGACCAGAACCCCTTTCTCTGTCAAGCCCATGGACCTGAGTAATTTTCGCGTCATTCATCAGCTGCCATTATTTTTTCTGAATTTCATTGGACTGTTCGAATGAATGAATACAGGTGCCAACGATTTGGCCAATGGATTCGCTACATCGGTTGGAAGCAAGACCCTGACGATGGGACAAGCAGTGATGGTAAGGCATCAGATATCATTTACCATTGAAAACCTCTTGAAGCTCACGAACTAGAATCTGATAGTAGCTCCAGAATCTGGACAGCATTGAGCTAGTGTGTGTGAGGTTGAGAGTCTGGACCCGAATTTTTTGTCTGTTCGAGTTCGATGCCGAGTCTCTGCTCTAGGGGGAGTTCTGACGATATTTTCTTCACGTTGCCCGTGGACATCTGAACTGTAGATAGCCATCGTCTTCGACTTTCTGGGAGCAATTCTGCTGGGTCGAGTGGTCACTTCAACCATAGCCAGCGGCGTGGCCGATATCAATGCCTTCATCGGCAACCCGGAGGTATACGCCTACGGCATGATCTGTGCCTGCACTGCTGGATCATTTTGGCTTGCGGTGGCATCACGAATCGGTGTGAACGTGTCCGGCACCCATTTCATCGGTAAGCATTTCGGCTTGTCGAGGAAATCAAGGGATCTAAAACTCATCACTTCCAAAGTGGCATCAATAATTAGTCTTTCGCCGGAATGGTTTCGCTAGAGATTCCATGGTCATAGTACTCCATCGTTTCGGTAAAATTTCTTTTCATGGCGTAGAATGGCATTGCACTGCAATTCTGCAGCGCGTAATAAACCGAATCGCATTGCACTGCAGTCGGCGGAATTGTTGCCTTCTCCTTGATCTGGGATGGCAAGGATGCCGTCATCTGGGCTGAGAGGGACAACTCCATCGACGCCTTCCCTTTCAAGGGAGTAATCTCCATCGTGACGTCGTGGATCATGTCGCCCATCCTGGCGGCCGCCGGGGGCGCGCTGCTCTTCTGGGTTCTCAGATCGTTGGTACTGCGGAGGAAGAACGCGTACAAGGTGGCCTTCTGGACTCTGCCGCCCACCATCCTCATCACGGTCTTCATCAACTTCTACTTCATTTTCACCAAGGTTCGGCCTCATGCATTACCTGCTGCACTTCCTGCAAGTCGCTGGCCGATGACGAATTTCGAGTGATAATACAGTGCATTTGGCGCTCAGAGTGTTTCGGTTCAGAGTCCAGTCCAGGAGAGTCGGTGCTGAGGGGGCCACGCAGTCGTGCATACCTCTCGCCCGTCGCCTTTCGAGATGCATTTTCTCGCTCAATCTGCGCCTGACGAGTGAAATCCGTTGGGTGCGTTCGTGCAGGGAGCCAAGAAGCAGATGGACAAGGACGGCGTGCACTGGTCGTACAGCAAAACCGCCTGGATATCTGCTTGCATCGCCCTGGGAGCTGCCGTGCTGTCGGCCCTCACCGTCGTCCCCTTCCTGAACAGCAAGATCAACTCGACGTTCGACGAGTAAGCCCCGAGCTCCTCGATCACTCGCGATTCAGCTCTAGCGCCGTGCATTCTGTGATGCCCTTGAGGGACGACTGGAATTGGGTTCCAGCTCCGACGTGTCTGTGGGTGTGGATGTTGACGAGCACAGCACATTTGCCGACTTCCAGCTTCTCCGGACCGATGGCCGACAACATCGCTATCGTTTATGGCTAATGGCGTTTTGTGGCTCCCTTGTTTGTGCAGGCAAGGCAACCGCCTGCATCCCGACGACTTGGAGGCGCCTGTGAAGAAGGAAACCTTCGCTGAAGCGTCCACGGGAGGCAAAATATGGAAGGTCGTTTCTCACGGTTGGACTCAGGACATCCACGACGTCATCATCACCAACAAGACTGTGGCCGAAATCCACAGCAATGCCGAAGTGTTCGAGCCGCGAGTGGAGTACGCCTTCATGTACCTCCAGGTAAGAACGACATCCAGGTGCTCGCTCGTGCTCGAGTCTGGTCCGCTCTTCAGATTCTCACCGTCTGCTGCGACGATTGTTTTAGATTACTTCTCCCTTTCGGAAGGTGCGGTCTGATTCCTCTTTCGCCTGATTCCAGGTCTTCTCGGCAATCTGCGTCATCTTCTCGCACGGTGCTGGAGAGGTCGGATACGCGGCTGGGCCCATGTCTATCATCCTTCAGGTGTACGAGGACGGCGTTCTGACGAAGAACATCCAGCCCAAGATCTGGGTGGTGGTGTTCGGCGGTCTCGCTTTGATTTCTGGACTTGCCACTTACGGTTACCACACCATGCGGACTATGGGAGTCAAGCTCACGAAAGTTACACCAACTCGAGGATTCTGTGCAGAGCTTGCCACCGCTATGGTTGTCATGGTTGCTTCCCAGTGAGTCAGTCTGAACCTGCACTTGTCCCTAGGTGTCCACTCCGAAGTTCTCCTCTGCTCTGGTAGCCATGAGAAAACTGAACTCAATGTCTTCAATACTAGAGGGTATGGCTTGTAATATTTTCCTGCTTGACCTGCAGATACGGTCTCCCTCAGTCAGGTAGTTTGGTCATCGTTGGCGCCATTGTGGGAGTCGGTATGGTTGAAGGACTGGGCGGTGTAAACTGGAAGCAGTTCTTCATTCAGGTCGTCGGATGGGCTTTGAGCACTCTGGTTGTCGGTCTGACCGTGTCTGCGCTGTTTGCACAAGTAAGTTCCACCGAAGATTCCAGTGACGACGGGTTCGATTCGGAATCATGTGCAAGCGATTATGAATCATCGAAGTTTGATAGATTCTGTTCTGGCGAGGTCGGCGGACTGACAAACGAGTGGATGTGTGGATGCAGGGCTTGTACGCACCTTCCGCGATTGATTCCAAGGCCATCAACGAGTACAAGAGCGAACTCAGTGCAATCAACACTCAATGGTACAAGGAGTTCAACACCACTCTTCAGAGCTACAGGCAGGCCAGCGAAGACGGCGTTCTGGACCGACTACCGATTGCCACCTGGAACGAGCTTAACGCGACTCTTCACAAACATGCCAAGACAGCCAAGGATCTGGGTGACTTCAAGAAGTACGCTGCAAGTAAGAAATCTGAACGCTAACCGACTCTTGCCATTGTTTGTGCCGCACCGAAGTTCTCGTTCTGATTGCTATGACAAACCATTTCTATGTTGTGGCTGCATGGAAGTCTCACACCATCCTATCAATCACCAAATCACCTGGACCAGAAGCGTCTCAAGAAGATAATCATCACCTCTTTATCAGCAGGCCTGTCGAATGCTCGATTCTATTGAATATGCAGATTGATGATTTCTAGCCCATTGAACGTTTTGTCGTGTTCGGTTTTTACAGAGAAGCCAGAGGCTTACATCCAAGAATTGAACACTCTATTTGCGCTCCTCCAAGAGAATACCATCCTCACAATCGGCCAAAATGATGTCTTCGACGGATCGGTTACCTGCAACAGCAATGTAACAGCTGCGATCACAGCTGGGACGCTGGTGCCTTGTATGGCTCCCAAATTAGCTGGTGCAGGAACGGAGTTCATAATGTGAGCAGTCTTGGGATTTCCGGTGTAATCAAACTTGCTGAGCACTCCTTTCGTGATCTTTTGTAAATCTGCATCAGGCAATATTCGATACAGTGTCATGTGCACACTTTGCACCTCATAGAATTTTGTCTAGTTCCCTTTCAAATCCGCAGGTCGTAGAATCAGAAAACGTTATCGATACGGAATAAATTCGCAATTTCGGGACTCCTTAAGACGCCCGGTTATAGTTATTTAGCTGTTGGCAGTTAGTCGGATAGATTCTAATACTTCCCATTATTTAGTCGATTTAAGGTTTACAAGTGCGCACAATAGCGTTCAGATTTAAAGCGCCAAGTGGAAGCCGCATCCTGTTTTCAAGAGAGTTGACTTCATTGATCCTCTCATGTCTTTCGAACTGTAAATTTAGTTGCTTGAGATATAAATAAATTTTAGCCCTGTTTCATCACCTGACAGAATGCAAGGGTGGTGCGATGGGTTTGATGGAACAACCTGTGTAATCGTCGATCGTAAAGCGTGCATGGACAATGTCCCCTGATGTGATGATACAACTGTTCACCTTTCTTGTTTAATCGTTTACTTCCTCAAAGGCTCGTGGTCCATCTAATTATTCAGCGTTAACAAGGTGTGTCATTTATATCGGCACAATTGGTTCATGAGGGAGAATACGCATAAGCCATGATGATTGAAGGTGTAGGATTCCTCTCACGATTTGTCCTTAAAAAAGGACAAATTTCGCACTAGGTAGAAACCGATAAGTATTTTCACTGATAAGGGCGCGTTCCCTGGTAAGGCCGAGATGCCTCTTTTGTCACAAGACAAAAGATGAGACAAGTAGGACAAGTAGATATTGTCCTCACCCACAGAGATGGGATTCACAGGGAACATAGCAATTAATGATAACACATATTAAAAAAATTCTTTCCTGATCGAAAATTCAAGTGATCTTTCTCTTACTCCAAACTTGAAAGATGTTGCTCAGATTTGAAATCGCTGATTCATGCACAGTAATACTCCCTGCAAATTGCTGCCTCAAATCAAATGAAGCTGACCGAAAAATTTCAAAACATTATAATTATAATTTTTATATCAAATACTCGCATCCCACCTGACTTTCTTCCAGATTCATTGGACAATGATGATATCCCAATAATGTTTCTGGAGTAAGAAAAAACTTTAGATTTTGATGATGAGAACAACAAAAGCTTCTTAAATTAGAAAAAAATTTCTTGAAAATTTCGTTTGGAGCGGTAAACGGATCGGAAGGGAGTATGCAACTTTTCCATCACAAGTGGTTTCGTTGCATTGAAAAGCTAACTCCGTGCACAACTGCGTTAACTGCCTATTGCAAGTGAGACATGCCACACCCGAACACCGTAATCGGGCTCACGCAATGTCTGCAATGGCAGAATGTTGCATGCGTACGTAAGATTGGAGTTCAAGGGTCAAGCGATGGGTGTGAGAAACCACGAGCAGGCGTGTGTCGGACACGAGTCCATGAAGCTCCCGTCCTTTCGGTGGCCTCAAGAGGACAAGCAGCTGACAACGTGGTCCGTCGATGTGTTCTTCATTGCCACTGGAACATTTATGCGGCAAAGGTGGCAAATTCCCGGCTGCTTCATTCTATTGTCCTCCCTACACGATTCCGCAATGTGATTTCTGCTGTACAAGTTGGTTTGGGTTTAAGTTGTTGTTGGAGTCTTCCGATCCATTTGTTACATTACCTTCTTCTTCTTCAGGCCTGGTCTGAAATCAAAGCTTTGGTAGAGATTGTGTGATGTTTCATCATTGAAAACTCCTGATCGTATGCCTGGGCCGTGGTTCTGGCATCCTTTCCACCACTGAGTAGCAATGTTAAAGTTCAGTTCTACTCAGAGAATGGAAACAGCGACGAAAGGATCAAATGACATAAGGAAGATGTATTTCAGCCGAATTTTTACTTTTAATTGCTTTGCATCATACTCAACTTGTTTTCAAAGAAGCTCGAAGTTATTTCATCAACTGCTTAGTTACTTCTGTGCTGTTGCAGATTTCTGCAAAAAAAAGTAAGCCTTGATGGTCAATGCTGCACCAATTTGACATTCTTTTGTTTGAAGACAGGCTCATGCATTAAATGAAGCGAATATTTTCTGCCTTTTGTAAAAAAGAGACACAATGAAGACGGGTCGAGAACAACATGCCTAGGTGACGACAGAACAACTTGAGCCGTCTCGTAGAAATCTGATATAGCGGTAACGGCACAGGGACTCAGGTAGCGGTAGGCCCTGTGATTTTATGAGGACACAAGAGACAGGGTAACCTAAGGTTTCAGGAGGGTCCAGTTATAATTCTCAAATGCCAATGAATGTCGAGTGTGGTCAACGCTTGGTCGTGTGCCGAACACAAGTCTGGCTCCGAAACCGCCAGTCTATATGTGGTGATGACCCCAGAAAAAGTTTGGCGTCCACATGGATAAGCTGTCACTGGGGATCGTGTAGAAGTCAACTCTCCTCTTACCGTACTGTACTTTGTGAAATCGTCCGTACCATGACTCTTGTTTTACCCATCGACATCAATCGACTTGCAGTCGTTTTACCCATCGACATCAATCGACTTGCAGTCGTTCTGACTTTCTATTCGTACTGTACTTTGGGTTCTTCGTGTCTTGCGTCCTGCAATCTGGATTTCGAACTCCACGTCGCGGTATGCTTGAGGTCGGTGTGTCGTTGTCCTTGATCCAGGTTCCTTCGTGTCTTAAGATTTCCAGTCTTCTCTCGAGTTGGGTACAGTTCCGTCTATTTTGGTCAGCACCTGTGCTTTACCGGTGATCTGATCAGTAAGTAGCTTTGCTTTATCGTCCAGACTCGCTGCAGCATCCCATCAACTACGAAATCTTCTTTTCCAGTTTTTGCTGAATTACTGTAATAATATCATTGAGTTGGCCCGAGACTTTCCTTTGTAAAACTATATCTTGTGTGTTTCAAGGTCGAATTTCAAAACGTAGAGAAAGCAAATGAACGCCCAACCCTGAGTAGCATCATAAGCTGCAAGCATTCTCTGAAGTGCTCTCGATCATCGCTTCAGGACTTCAACTATGGTTACATGGCCAGGAGATGCTCCGAAGAAAGAAGGTCTTCAATGACAAGAAAATCAAATAGTATAGTCTTTGAGTCAGGTATAAATGACATGAGTTATTCTACTAAGGAAGGTAGCCAAACTATAGTAAACATCGATGGGTTGTTAGTTGAAGATATTGTGATCCAGTAGCCAAGAAAAAGCTAACCTGTCTGACTCGTTTATTTATCACGGCAGTTGTCGAACGAGGCGAGCTTCACGTAAGAAGGTTTCTTCAAAGATGATGTCCTAGTGATGAAATTCCTCATCGCCAGCACAAAGTATGTCTGCAGAGCCATAGCTTCAGCTCGCCGCAGTAAAACTGCTGTACTTGCAGCCTTTCCATTCCATTCAGCTTCGAGCACAAGGAGCACAGTACATATCCTTCTACTGAGCAGTGCCGTGCTGCGGCAAACCGTTGACGTTAGGTCATCCTTGGTTTCTGCAATGCCGACAGCAGCAGCCAATTTGCTAGTGGTTCACAAATTGATGACGCTACGTGCAAGACTGATTAAATGCATCTGCAGCGAGATATCGCGCACACGCTCAATAGCGTCACCCCTTAAAGACGATTCATGACTTCCACTTTCAATATGTCCCGGACCCGATTACGAAAACGGGATGTAGAGGCTGGATTTATCTTGTTAGGGGTGAAATGTCTGACGCACTGACATTGAGCATCACGCATAATGTCCGCACACAAATTAGAGTGCACCTCGCTATTTTGCTCTGACTACCTGATGCTCATTGAACTGGGGTTGAATATGGTTAGAGATTTCAGCAATCTCCATTCTTAAATTTTAAAATGGACATAATGAAGCGAACTTAAGCGACAGCAATTTTTGGCTTCCGCGACAATGAAAAGATCAAATCGATAAATGAGTTCACAGTACGAAGAATCTCGTTGACTGTTGCTGGGAACAACGGAACCAACAACAGTTTGGTTATTTCCAGCAACAGTACGCTCATGAGCCGCGGGAGGCCTTCTCCGTCAATAACCCCATAGGACTCAGGCATAAGATTTCCGTGGCATATATAGATAAGCTATTCTTATACGAAGAAGGGTTGCTTTCGCTTGTCTTTCACACTCGTGATAATATTTGTAGGCGATAACGGCACATAATGAATACTGATAGATTGTTCTCCTCCTCCTTGCGACAGCCACCGGGGTTCTGTTGAGCCAGTGGATCGAAGATTCCGTGAGCAGCAGCTCCTGTGACGAGATCCTCCACCGAGTGAGCTTTTGACTGGGCGGTGAATGTTTGCAAAGGAGATGGTAAAACCAGCAAGATTCTGGGGTCAGCAGTCGTAAGGCCGGCTGGTTCCTGAGTTGGCATCTGTAGCAGTGCCTGGAGACAGCAGCAGCAGGGCTGCGTTCGCATCCTATATAAACTTCCAGGGCGTTCCTGGATAGACACCTGCAAAGTGCGGCATCGAGTTCGTCTCCACCGGCGCTGGATAGCCCTCGAGTCCACGGAGAATCGAGACTTTCGCAGGCTAGGGTGGGCTGCAGCAGCAGCAGCAGCAGCGGGATTCATCGAAGATGGCCGTCATGTCGGAATATCTGTGGTTCGTCATAGTTGGAGCCTTCGTGGCTTTTGCCTTCGGGTGGGGTAATGGTGAGTAATCCTCCATGGAAAGCGATCCTTCAAGGATACCGGACAGAGTGACGACTTTCACTTAGTCTACGAGCAGCAGCAGGAATCTCTCGGTCGTCTCTTTTATTGCGTTCTCGAATCTGAATCTCTGTCCAACAATGGCTGAAGAGTCACTCCGACTGCGATCCCTGGACCAGAACCCCTTTCTCTGTCAAGCCCATGGACCTGAGTAGTTTTCGCGTCATTCATCAGCTGCCAAAATTTTTTCTGAATTTCATTGGACTGTTCGAATGAATGAATACAGGTGCCAACGATTTGGCCAATGGATTCGCTACATCGGTTGGAAGCAAGACCCTGACGATGGGACAAGCAGTGATGGTAAGGCATCAGATATCATTTACCATCGAAAACCTCTTGAAGTTAACGAACTGGACTCTGATAGTAGCTCCAGAATCTGGACAGCTAGTGTGTGTGCGGTTGAGAGTCTGGAACCGATTTTTTTGTTTCTTTGAGGTCGATGCGGAGTCTCCGCTCTAGGGGGAGTTCTGACGATATTTCCTTCACGTTGCCCATGGACATCTGAACTGCAGATAGCCATCGTCTTCGACTTTCTGGGAGCAATTCTGCTGGGTCGAGTGGTCACTTCAACCATAGCCAGCGGCGTGGCCGATATCAATGCCTTCATCGGCAACCCGGAGGTATACGCCTACGGCATGATCTGTGCCTGCACTGCTGGATCATTTTGGCTTGCGGTGGCATCACGAATCGGTGTGAACGTGTCCGGCACCCATTTCATCGGTAAGCATTTTGG